TTCAAAATCTTTTCGTAATCTTTTTAGAACCAGTTTTTTTTGTAATAAAAGTTTTCTCTCTCCCGTTTCAGTTCAATCTCAAGCTCTTATTATAAAGTAAAATTCACGTCATCCAGATTAGCTGGCATATCTTCTATTTCCATTATGTTCTCTTGCACTGTTTCCACAATCACTTGTTTATTTATACGACTTAACAAATTTTTCATCTCTTGTCGCATTGCATTCTTTTTCGACATGGGGAAATAACCAGTATTGTTTAGTCCTTCGTTATACTTTTTTGGGTTTTGTAAGTACACTAATGTACTTGTTATTTCAGAGGGACGCCGTTTCGCGATTCTGTTGCGTAGTGCTTTTGATAGTTCGGCACTAAGGCTAGAGTCCTGCCTATTTAGTTTTTCTAAGACAAATTTCAAGGTTACGTCGGCCGTTGTCAAAGTGGACTCTCTTCTGCAAAGAGCTTCTACAGCCAGTTTCACCGGTTGAAGAATGGCGATCAACTCATTGCTTTAGGCAGCTCATTTTTAGCAGCTCATTTACAACTTTTAGGCTGTAGAAACGTTCCAGCATACTGAGCAAACTGTTTCACCTGGTGCGGCAGTCAAGAATCAAACTTAAATCCTTGCCTTTCTCTTCCTTGACATATTTTTGCAAGAACATATCGTCCTTAGTAGGTTATTTTTTTAACGTTTTAACAACTTTTCGTATTTTCATGAGTAGATCGCTGTAACGGGGAATCAATTTAACAAGACTCGCTGATGTTGGTTCGATAGTTACTGCCAATCTTTAATTCATCTCTGTCTCCATATCTTCATTCTCGTCTTCATATTCATCAGTATCGTCTATTGCTGCTTGTTCTACGTCTTTTCGATGTTTCTTTTTATACAGCCTGTCTACTACAGCCAAATGAATTCCATATGCATAGCACAGTTTTTGATGGCAAGACATGATCTTGCCAACTTTCACTATAACGGATGCGCCGTCGATTGTGATACCAATGGTGTCGGATTCAGTCAATAAACAAAAATTTTCATGAAGCTAAACCTAGATATTATGTCCACCATGTTTACTATTGACTGACGGTCCTTATTCAATTAACTTACATAAATCATCAAGTGATGATCTAATCATAAATTATGCTAAATTATTAGATAATTAGTCAAATTACTTACCACTCACTACAAAACAACAGACACGGCAGTACAGCAGATTGAGAGATGCACTTATTAGGCGTGAAAACACTTTTACTGGTGAGAGCAAAAAGCCAACTAAAAGAAGATAAATAGAATAGACGAATAGACAAATAGAATCTAAGAGTCAATGGGTAGGCGTAGGCGGTGCAGTCGAGAGGGATAGCGACGCTATGTTGCAGTTCAATCGCACTTCCTACCTGCTAGCACGATATAATGTCAAGTTGCCAACTTACGGCTTTGAATAAAGAGGCTAATGAAGACATGAAGTAACTTATTTCGAATTTGACACGTTTGCAGATCCGCGCTGCTGGATCCAGCATATAAAAAACGCTGGATCCAGCAATTGCAATCTCTACATGTATCCATTCGAGGTCGTCGAAACAACAAATTTAAAAATTCTTGTTTAAAAACAGATCTATAGAAATTATAGATTTATTAAGTTACTTTAGTATCTGGATATGGCTCTTGCTAAACTCTAAACAGTCTATTATTATTCAAATCCTAGCTTAGGTATTCTTTATTGGACTTTGCTCCCGTATAATGACCAACATCGCAGGGTATTGAATTAATGTGCTCTTTTATAGCAGAATATAGCGCTTTTTTATGAGATGTTTTATTATCTGTGAAAGTAGTTTCGCCAAGTTCTTTTTCATTTGCAAGAACTTCTTGCTTTTTCCTTATTACAGCACAGGTATTCATGCATGTATTCTTACAGACTTGAGCAAAGGCTCCATCTTCATTGGGCAGGGTGTAGCTTAGTGTTGTTTAAAGTCTACTATCTTCCGGACTCTCATAAGTACCCTGGCCCATACAACCTTTCTATGCCAGTAACTTACAATCTAAAATTTTGGCACTTAGCACCTTTCAAACTTCCAGTCTTCAATTATGCTTCATCATTATGAATAATTAAAACATAAAACTTTTTAATCGCTAGAAGTATTTTTACATTGCAAACATAATGAATATACTACATTTTCTCATTTAACCCTTAACCAACGTGGTGAATTAATTTTACAAAAATGACGTGGTAGAGTCCTGGGACTACATGTTGTCAAACTGACAATTTGTGGTCTGAATGTTATGTTCGAGTTATTGAAGGTTGAAAAGACATTTAAAGAAAGCATATTTATTATAAAAAGTTAAACAATACAAAATAATGCCAACTTATTTCATATAACCGTTTTTTTTTTCAAAGACACGTTTTTAAAACTATATTGAACACTAAAATAATATTTTTCATAGAAAAAGTTATTCTAACACAAATTGTGTAAGTCCTGACAATTAATCAGTTGATCACATTTCTTCACGCTTATTTACATATTCACTACACATTTTTTTGCTTCATTTCAAACAGATCGGTTGTTTACATTTTATACACTGAAAACTTGTCTTCTTTTTCAGTTTTGGGTTACATAAATAGCAGTACTTTCTAGCGTTCCTGGGCAAGGCATTTGTATGATCGTCATTTTTTGTTGGATTTATTCTAAACACCTTTTGAATGCCGAGTCTTAGTTCTCTTGGAAGGCGTTGGTTAATTTCTCGTTCTCGAAGAAGTGGTTCATATAGTTGCTATGCCAAAATCTTCAGAAACTCTTATCTTGTATATTTTGTTCTGTTGACACAAGCCTGGTGAATAATATATGTATTTAATGCACTTATATCGATTATTTTAAAAAATATGGCCATCGGCCAGCTCCTGGTTCATGGACTGCGAGTATTTTGTGCATTTTTCCTCTACTCAATCTATGCCTGCTCTTGTATTGTTAGAAAAGGCATTCATTTTTCGGTAATCCAGTTTCGATATTATCTTCTTTCGTGTGATGTAGCGAGGATATTAAAAGCACAGCCCTATTTTTCTTTGACACTCCAGAGATTATAGTTTTAGTTTTTGTAAATCAGTATAAAGCTGAGTTTACAGATCTTAACATAGATGGTAGGAACTCTTTAGTAACTTCTCTCTAATTCCTTTTCATATTGCCAACATATGTTAAATTAATATCTAATAAAACATCTACAAGTTTCACTGATGTATACCAGTTGTTACCTGTAACATTTCTATTATTGCCAAAGATCGGCTTGCAAAGGCGAACCACTGCTTGGGAGGAAATAGAGAGTTTTTTTCTTCTGCAAGTGTTGTATACATAGTGGGTGCGAGCATCTGCTAAACATTTAATCTTTATTCCATACTTTTCGGGTTTACTAGGTATATACATTTTAAGCCTACATCGCCCTCGAAATCCGACTAACATTTCATCGATTGTAGTATTAGCAAGTGGTACATAAAAATTTTGGTTGAATATCTTTAAATTGTGGGAAATTGCGGCAGTTGAGGATCATTTAGCTCGATTCGCTCTTTCTTTTCATGTATCAAATCGTAGTGCTTTGATGTCTTTATAGTTAGACTTGAAGATTGATGTCAATACCAGAAGGCCAAAAATCCGTTGATCTCTGTATTATTGGTGTTTCTAAATTCTGTGCGGTTGTGATTTCTATCCTTGTCGCGATATTCCCTCAGTTTGACATTTTTGTAATATACAACAATGTCAACAACATCTTTAGAAACAATTTTAAGCCATGCCACCACTGGTTCCATATGTTTGAAAGACCCTTTGATAGTAGGCAATCTCAATAAATTAGAAGCGGGTGTTCTAACATTACGAGTATGTTCAACTAATGCCCTATTTGTCTAATTTGTACCTATTTTTTCCATAAAAGTATTGTTTGTTTGGACCAAATTCATTAATTGAATCTTCATCAGACTCCCGACTTTCGTTCGATTGACCATCGTTAGTATCGCTAGCATAAAATTCGCTCTCATAACTATTGTCACTCAAAATTCGGCACAATCGGCCTGATTGTGCGATCGCCCAACAATTTCTTCAAAATTAGCATCCTCTGGACGCACACTTTTTTTACTTTTTGAAACCGTCATTAAATTAAAAACTATCACAAAATACGTCGTAGAGTCCCTCGGACTTTAACGTGTCCTATTCGATAACTTTTACGAAACTGATCGCAATTTCGCATAAGCATAACAGAGATCTCCCTATTACCTGAAGGTACTGTACGAAACCACTCGTTTGAATCAATAGTGAGGAAATATGAAGCGTTATTTGAACTGCAGGGTCCGAGGGACTCCACGACGTCGATTAAGGGTTAAATATTATGCCCATGCCTAGTGAATCACCAGTTTAGTTTAACAAATATAAGAAATCATGGTAAAAATATGCTTAGTGCAAGAAGCCCTAAATAAAATCACGTACTTCCCTTTAAATCAAATTTTTCCTATTTATTCTCGCGCCTATTCATGTATTCTAACAGCTAAATTGTAATTTTACACCGTAACCACAACATGGCATTAATAATTGTAATCTTTTAAAACACTTATCATCCAAAAACAATTTTTTTGCATTATAAAAAGTGTAAACCAGTCGCATCGCCCTGTAACTTTCAATCTCATCCTAGGCGATTTGTGTTCAAAATTTGCCGCTACGAATCATCTGTTCACTCACGGCGACAGTGTCTCCACCAAAACAAACACCATACACTACCTGCTTTTATGATTTGATTTAAAGTGTCAAAACATTGTTACAATATTTTACATTGTTGTTAATAAGATAATTAAAAATCTCATCATAATTGTGTAATAATAACTCTTGCTCAACGATAACGTATAATTTTACAATTTTCTAGTGCATTAACGTGTATAAATCTAAAAAAACCTCCTATATAACCTCACTTTATAACAGTTCGTGAACGCAACATAATTGTTAGTAATATTTAAAGAAAACGATAAAATAGTGAGTTAATATGGAAAACGGACAATGTTTAAGTGATACTTGTGATGGAATAAACTGTAAAGGTATTGAAACACCTCATTTAGGACCCTCATTGAGTTTTAGACCGAAAGGTTCTCTTGCTAGGGCTCTGTATGAAAAACAGAAGCATGATGAGTTCTTAGAGCAGTTCGACAAGAACGAGGTATGTTGTATATTTATAAACAAAATATTATTAGTATATAACACAGAACACAATACCTGCAATTGTATGAATAATTGTTGATATACATAATTTATATTTGAGAATACATAGTGGGTTATATTTAAAGTTCTGAAAATAAACGATACCCATCTTTCGTTGATTAATTTTAATTTCAACAATAAAAATAAAAATAATATAGAATTATAACTAAATTATAAATAAAACAAATTTGATTTGTTTACAAACTAAATTATTCCCTGAATATTACTTTAGTTTGCAACATAGTGTTAATACGTTTGGTGTAGTAATTGATAGCGTACGTGAATTGTAAACGTGGGTTGTGAGTTCAATCCCGCTCTCTCGGTTACACTTTTTGTTTTTTTTTTAAATAAATTTTTAATTTATAATGATATTATTTATAGTATTTTATGTATTATTTATTTTATATACTTTAGTCACAGGAATAAATATAATATATACTCATGTAGATTATTCGATATTTGACATCTGGTAAGATGTCTTATATTACTTATAAATAAAATACAAAATGCAATAAATTATAAATTAATATTAATAATTAATATATAAAGTTAATTTTTAGACCTTGGCCTTTTTTGAAAGGGTGTTTACACTACTGTTTTAAGTATAGTTTAGCTGAGGATTTCCCCTTGGAAAGTGGTGTCGATCTATATTTTAAAAGAATTTCCTATACTTTCTTATGCATGCGTATTCGAGCAATAGTCAATTATTCTATATAGAAAAACTTAAGTAAATGCTGAGTTTTTGATCTGATAAATCATCACTCACAATGTTGTATCAGGAAGTTGCATTACCAGTCCAAACACAAGTTTTAAATAAAGTTACCTGTTGATGAGACCAATGTGCGGACTATATCTCATCCTATGAAATCAGGGAAATGTTTTCTGCAAAATCAATTTGCAGAGTTCCTGACGTTGGATTATTTTTAAGTTTCCTTTCTTCAAATTCTTCTGATTGCACATTTTTAATATAGCAATGAACTCTAAATGTAGACAATTGTTTTTTATTTCACAAATTACATCTTTTACAGTACCGCTGTGCGAAACTTGTTTTGGCCTTTTTCTAATGTCAACCCATTGTTTCCAGACAATTTTTTCCCTTCATCATAATCACTGACAGTTAACACATGTGCAAGTTTATATTCAACTAAACTTTTGCATTAGGAACAAGTTCCTAACATACAGGTTTCTTCGTTTAAGCTACAAACAAGTTTTCTTAATAGTTCTTTACCATTTGGTACAAGATCCTGTTTTAATACTTTATTACTATGCAAGGATTCTAAAAGATAGTTAAAATTTCCGTGATATTTACACACACATACCGTGTATGGTGTATCACTTACTAAAAGGACATGTTTTGGTCGCAGATCATAAAATGTGGTCTTTGTCACTTGTTGCAAGCCCCTTTCTTGGCTGAATTGTTAATAGGCTTCTTTGACTGACATGACAAGAAACCTTTTTTGCACATTAGCTCTTTTGTTAGTTACAGGGTCCTCAATTAATTTTGTATCCCTTTTTCCTGGAGCCTGGTAACTTATATCATCCCTGATTAAAAAATCTTTGACAGTTTTCTTTACCTCATCAGAGAGTTTGGTTGTACATTTACGAGGAGGTTTGGTCAATACCAAATTTGGGAATTCCACAATCGTGTCTTGGAAGGACTATCTGGTAAAACTTTTTTAATCCTATTTACAGCCCTATTACAGAGGTTTTTTTCCTGGTTTTTCCCTCATAATTTACTATGGAATCACTAACAGGAGAATTTTACTGTCATCATGTCATGTGTTTGTCTTTTTAAAGACGAATTACATGCTATGATTTTTTTCTGACGGATATTCTCAAGTTAAAGTTGATTTCATGTAATCGAATGAACTATCTTATAAGTAAAGTCGTCCCAGGAGCGCAACTCAACAATATTGGCAATATCATTTTAAAGTCGTCTACTTTAAAATGCATAATGTATGTCTGAATTGTCAATATAAATGAGTCAGATAAAATTAAATTATTAGAAGAATTTTTCACTATGTAACAAAAAACAAAATTTGTTTAATTTACTGTTTGTATTTTGAGAACGATTTCCGAAGTGGAAATTGAAACGTCAATAAACGTATTTTTATCTTTAATTGTGGCTTATTCCCAGTTAAATAGTAATTAATTTACAATGCCACAAGAAAATAGCTTCAGAACAATATTTCATATTGCAGTTGTCTTGTATTATATTTTTTATTAGATTATTAGTATAGTTTCTATTATCGTTCCTAATTTCTTTCTTCCCGTTTTATACGAATAATATCCTAGAAAACATTATTGATTCTGAAGGAAATAAATAAGATATTGACGTAGAAGCTGATGCTTGTGACGAAATTTCAGATTTGGTTGTTTAAAACTTTTTGTTCCATAAATATTTGTTTTAAGATTGTTTTAATAAAAATATAGTTTCAAGGAAGATGTGTGTTTTTTGCATTGTTTCTGTTGCAAAATCGGCAATCTCCAAGTGTTTGAAGCAAAACCAGAAATCTCCTAGCGTAAGTTGTTAATTACTTTAAATTTAATGAAATAATTAGGTTAATTTTGTAAATAACTAAAGCCAATGTACAAATAGATATTACTAAATATATAATATAATAAAAACGCTAAAATTTTATTAAAAAATTTTATTTCCTGAAAAATTTGTCTAAGTGGAAATTGCTGGTTTTGCTTCTAGACCCCTCAATTATGATGACTAGTAGTTACAGCGACGGTCAAAACAACACTGTATTTTTGCTCATTTCCCTAAGCTACTATCGTAAGTTTGTATTAGTCTTTAAATATTTAATGCTAATTATTTTCTCCGACAAATTGCTTGCTTTAATCTTTTGGAAATAATTGTATCAGGATGACTAGTAATATCTCTAGATAATTGCCTGCAACGTACGACGGGGTAGAACTGCGAGAAAGAATATTTGGAATTATATTGTAGCAGTGAGAAAGAGAAGGTTATATCTTTTGATTTTTCACAATAGACCAGTGATGATAAATACTGAAGCGTTTATTTTGGGACACAGAAAAGTAATATAAAATTGTTTAAGCCAGACACTGTTCGCGTGTTTTCCATTTTTTCTTTTTAAAAGTTTCTTGTTTTAGTTCAATTATTAGATGATTCTTGCCAGTTATGCTTCTGTTTAAACACTGAATAGGATAGTGCCAAATCCTTACCCTTTAAGGACTTTTGTCAAATTTTTTGGCATTTAACCGGCATTACTGGTCCCGAGGTCGGATAAGAAAGGTGATGGTGAACGGCTATTAATAGGTTTTGGTGGTAGTATCCATGCCAAGTGGTTGCTGTCAATAAATGCCAACTAATTCCATGTCTACACCTGTAAATGCCACTAGGGATGGGCGAAAGCAAATTTCCATCGCCTTTTCGATTTCATGGAACATCTTGGCTAAGGTATGGTAACCTTAACAGAAGTGTCCCTGGCTCTCCAAATTAAGGGGTGGGGCAAGAGGCTAACTCCTTCATCCCGTAAAAACCTATTGTTACGAAATCTCAAGACAAAAAAACCGGACTCAATTCGAGACTAGTACTTGTAATCTAAGAAAGCTATATACGACAGCACAACTGAGGTTGCTTTAAGATTAATTTCTAAAAATATAGAATAGGCATTCCATCGATTCAAGCGATTCGATTGACAGGAACCAGCATTATGCAAAAAAAAATATGATATATATTACAGTTGCAATCTGCACCGAAACAAGTTCAGAACCACGTTCATAGTATCAAAGAAAATAAAAAAACCTATTATTGGTTTTAAAGCCAGAAATGATCAGTTATAAATTTTCCGCATACAAGGAAACTTTTTCGGACTATGCATGATCTTGAAAGTGCTTATGATAACTGTGCCAAAAACCTGAGACCAATGGAGAAAAATTTTTAGGAATATTGAAAAAAAAAAACACGATCCTCAGTAATGGCGAATCGACCAGAGATAACCAAAAATGAAATTAAATTAATCATTGGGGATACATGAACACCCAGATAGAAAAAGGCATAGACTACCAAGATTATATTGGTAAAAACAGCCTTTACGATTTTACTGATGACAATGTATTATTGCCAAAGACATGATTGTGCATGTATTTACATGTTTTAACTCTTTGAAGGGCAATTGTTATCATGCAAAAAATGCTCTAGTGGAGCAAAAATATTTTTATTCACAAGTTAATAAAAAATACACAAAGGGGGTAATTATCTACTATCGATAAACTTTTAGATGATTTTTTTTTTTCTGCTACTTTATTACCACTGTACCAGTTGTTGCAAGTTTGCAGACATAAAGCTAATATGGTCTAATATAAAAAAGCGAACCTACAGTATTTCTGAAAGCATAATTTGCTTTAATTGTATAACAGTGCACATCCATTCACTCCTAACTTGTGTGTGATTGCAGCTCGTGCGATATCCTCTTTTTAGAGACACTTTGATCTGACAATGATCCATTAATAACAGCACGGTGAAAATCTTTTAATTTTAAAAGCAGTATGCATTTACAATCGCAGCATCTAATAAATAAAAAATATATATTCAATGCTACCACTTTTGACTGCGACATGGTCCAATGTGCTGAACTGTAAAATAGTAAATTCTACCTATTTTTAAAATATTGTTATGACTTAAAATTTAAATATGAAGTCATGATATAAATATAGAGTTGATAGTATATAGAATAGTTATAATTTAGATTTTGAAGTATATAATTACTATCATTGATTTTAGTATTGTAAACAAGTTGTTTTTTGAATTAAGTGATTTAAACGAAGTGTAACAATACTTAGGTGGTTAAATAGTGTAATTTATTTAGTCGAATATTCAATTAGTATTAAGAAAACAAAAAAAACTTACTTATTCTCTTATTCTCCTAATCTCCTAAAACTATCATCAACCATCAGATTCACAGAACTTCACCATAGGAAAGTACATTA